ACCACATCCATATTCTCAGCAGCAGAAATGAGGATGCGGCAAAGGTAGCAGGGAGACCTCTCAGTGAAGTCAGCCCCCTTTAAGGGTCTTTACAAGAAACCCCACCAAATGTTCCCACCTACATCTCATTGCTCCTCCTATGCACGGTGGGGTCTAAGAGAGGTAGTTTTTCAGCGAGCCCCATTGCCACTTTCAATAATATAAGGGCTCTGTTAGTAAGGAAGCATGAACAATTGGGTACTGAGTAGGCAACCAACAGACTCCTCTTTCCAGGCACTGAGATGTCATATCCAATCCTAGACGCTGACATTTCAGTCTTCTCATTTGACAGTCTCTCTGAGATCTGACTTCAGTTTCTTCTGTTTTTGTGTCAACTTGTCATCCTATTTTCCACAAATGCTTTATTCTTAGGGGACAAACAAGAAAGAGTGTCTTCATCCTTACATGATCCAAACGTTGAAAACCATTCATTCATTCGCTTGACAAAGAGTCATCAAGTTTCAACAATTTGTCAGGAACCACAAGGCACCTGAGGCACATAAATGAAAACACATGTTCTCAGGCCTTATTTAGTTTATAGTCTAAGGGGGAGAAACACATTTCTTAGGGAGGTAGCTATTCTTTATCAAACAGTTAAGATTCTAAGGAACGAAGGGGTGCATCACGTAGCTGAAGAGAACCAAGAAAGGTTTCACAGATGAGGCAGCATCCAACTGAGAGCCGAAGGCCGGGTGGGAGCGGGCCCAGTGAGGATGCGCGTCCAAGACAAGGAGGCATATGAGTGCATGGAGTGTGTGGAGTGTGCGGGAATACAGGAGGCCTGAAAGGCTGGGACCCAGCGTGCCCAGTGTACAGTGCCAGGAGATGAGGCCTAAGAGGTAGGAAGGGACTGGAATGGAAACACTGTTATGGGATTTTTACGACAAACGTTAACTCAAGCCTATACCTCACCACCCTTCTCCCCAGAAGGCAGCAGGGAGCCACCTGAGAGGCACAGCTGTGTGCAGGTACCTGGGTTCGTCTTTGACTTGTTTCGAATCACTAGAGGATCCTGTGTAAAGAGCTGCACCATTTCCCCCCTCTACAAAACATAAAAGGGGCTGGTTTTCGTCCCAGAAGGAGAAGAGAATATGTATTTTTCTATAGAAGCTCTCTCATCTACAAGAAACGTTGACTGAAGACCAGGCCAAAATAAAAACCTTTTTTTTTTAATTTAAATTTTTTTAATTGAAGGGTAGTTGGTTTATAATGTTGTAAAAAGCATTTCAACTTAATCCCGATTACAAGGTCAAGCTCTTCTGACTTTTAAAATGAAGAAATTGAGCCACAGAAGTAAATAACTACAGCACAACATTTCAAACCTATTTAAATTCTATATTGTAATAAAGTAAAGCATGAAGGAAAGAAAAGAAAGAAGAAAAGAAAGGAAAGAAAGTGGAAAGCAAGAAAGAAAAAAGAAAGTCAGATGAAAAGCGAATAAGTGATAAGAGGAAGGAGGCGTGAGAGGCAGACGGAGAGACAAGCAGAAACAAGTGAAAGAGAGGCGTGGGGAGAACTAAACTCAGGGAGCAGAAGGCTTGTGCCAGGTGCTTTATGTCCATCATTTCACATTCAGTCGATGTGCATTCATCATATATTTAGGTTTCAAGCAGGGGAGTGAAATGGTCAGATGTGCATTTTTAAAGGCTCACTCTACGGGGGGAGGATAGAGCTCAGTGGAGGGAGAGTGGTAGGGTCCTGGGTTCAATCCCCAGTACCTCCATCACAAAAATAAACCCAATTAACCCCCAGACCAAAATGAAAAATAAATAAAAGATCACTCTAGCTGCAGAGGGGGCCATGGGTGGATGCAGGCAGACAATTTTGGAGGCTGTTGTGGAAGCCGAGGAGAGAGACCATGCTGGCTTGGATTAAAGGGGTAGCAGCAAGACTGCAACAAAACAGAATCATGGGATTTTTTAGAAGGAAGGACCAAAGGAACTAAGCCCTTTTTATACATTCTCATTGTACCTTATACTTTCCTCATCATTGCCTTCATTACATTTTATTGAAGTTACCTCTCTACTCATCTGCATTTCTAGCTGTGGGCCGCCCAGTGTGGTAATCACTAGTCATACGTGGCACATGAAATGCCTAGCTGAGCTGTGTCTTGTGTGACATGAGATGTGCTCTAAGTGTAAAATACACACTAAATTAGAAAAACCTTTCAAAATGAAGAATGTAAAATATTTTAATAATAATTTCTATATTAATTACTTATTAAAATTATATTTTAAATGTATTTGGTGGAAATAAAATATATTATTAAAATTAATTTTATTGATTAATTTAAAATTAATTTAAATTTCTTAATGTGGCTACTAGAAAATTTTAGATTACATATGTGACTCACATTATATTCCTATTGAACGGCACTATTAGAGACTATAAGAACTGAGGTATGTCCAAGGCCTAGCACTTAATAAATTTGCACTGAATGAATAAATAAGTTATATTTGGCCAGGGCACATTCAAATTCTGCCTATAGGTATGTATTAACAATGATGGCCTTCAGCTTAAATGTTGGTTGATACTGTTGACAATGTTGGCTTCACTGTTGGCTAGAAAAGAATACATTTTCTAAATCAGCTAGACTCAGGGAGAGGGTATAGCTCAAGTGACAAAGCGTACACTTAGCATGCACGAGGTCCTGGGTTCAATCCCCAGTACCTCCTCCAAGAATGAATACGTGAATAATTACCTCCCCCCACCAAAGATAAAAAATTAAAACAAATAAATAAATAAACCAGCTAGACTCAAACATTGCCCAGAATTTGACTAAAACCTTTAAAATACTTCTGCAATTTATCTACTTGTCTTGGCTATGTGTCCTCTTAGGGGACACGGTTCACTTTCGGCTCAGTCAGTCCCTCTGGGAACCAAGTGGCACAGATGTGGTTCGGTAATGGAGGACCATCTTACGGTGCGCACTCGAAAAGCAATGACTGAAACCTGAAACATAATATTGACACTGTGAAGCCCTTGTGAAGTTGTGACTTCATTTTCACCTAACAGTTCAGCACCTTGCCAAATCTGTGCTTCCACTGAGCTCAGGTGCTTGAGCCAAAGGAAGTGAGCACGGTGTCCAGCTGACTCCACTGTCACAGCCAGTCCGAGAGGAATACTTACATGCCTTTGAACACATCAGCACTACTCTTGTTTCATTCTCCTGCAGCTCTACGTGCACTGTGCTCAGCTGTCAAGTCACATCAATCAGAAAGAACAATTTTATGAGCCAGTAGGGGTCTGGCATGTTGTATCTCTCAGAACCCTTTTAATTAATTCACTAAAGTCTTTAATCTAAGGAAACAGCTCAGCAAATCTCTTCAACAAGTTTCCACCGCTTAGCAGTCTGACAGCATTAACGTAAACTAGATCTCCACATTCTGCTCTAACCTTTTCCCAACATGCTACATAGTGAATATGGCTAAGGGCAGAAACATCCAAAAAAACTCAGTCTTAATTCCTCCATCGAATCATCTGAGTTGCAGAGCTCCCAGCCAGCACTCCCCTAATGAATGATGTAATGGAAGCTGGGGCCCACTAATCGCTTTTGACATGAATAACTTGAATGACAGGTAGAGACCGTTTTTCCCCTGATCTGTGTCAAGTGAGCTTAGTTTTTCCATACTTAAGCAAATCTCAAGTTCCACACTGACAAGAGGTTAGCGCCTACTAGGTAAGTAAGCACACTTTTTTTTCTCCTGAAAATTTTAAGTGGTCCACATTCCAAGGTCAAGAGAGCCTGCATTTGGTAAAAGGGCTGCAGGATGGACACCTCCATACTGAGCTTCATTGATGAAATGAAGTTGTTGTGTTAAAGGGTCCCCACCCTGGTAGTTCCCTATGTGTTTAATATGGAACATGGCAAGTTCATTCACGTTTCTTCAACCAACATTTACTGAGTGTTTACCATGAGCAAAGGAGTTTGGAGAATATCAAGATAAATAACACAAATAGCTATCATTTAATGAGTCCCTATTATATCCTAGATCCTTTAAAATACACAACACCACAAGGAGATTAACTCCATTTCACTGCAGGATAAAACGGAGTCTCCACATTTGAGATGTTTACATTTTACAAAGACTTCTGCTACGTAGCATGGTACACTTATGTATACATAAGTGCTGTTTCTGATGAAATTAACAGGTATGTCAGATTGTTTACTGTGTAATACCCAACAGTATTCTGAACTAGGCACTCCCCAAATGTTTGTTGACAGTATCAACCGAGAGAGACAGGCTGTTTTCTACCCACACAAAGAACAGCATGGCAAAAGATAATTAAAACGTATGTAGCAATAAAGCAAGCATTTCTAAATCTGAATAAGGAGAAACTAGGTAAATTACCCACCACAGAGATTTTTACAAAAAAAAAAAAACCCGAATTAAACCTGGGCTGAACTAGGTATGTTATTCACTTGAAGAAGGGAGGTGTATTAGAATCAAGCAAAACAAAACCTAGAAGTCCCAACCCATGGAAATGTTCATTACTTACCAGGGCGACGTTTTGGGGAGTTGGCTTCCATCGGCAAAAGTACACCAAAATCTTAATCTAAGTATCTGGTAAGGGCAGAGGACAAAGCCTTGGAGCCTGATCTTGGGGCCTTTCAAAATGTAATTTACATCTAAATTAATCGGAGAAAGAAAAAGGAAGTAGGAAAAACTCTTTTTTTAAAAAAAAATCGCATTTTAATTTTCCCTCCTCTTCTTCTGCACTCTTAATATGGCTCCCTTCACGCAGTCTGAGGCCAAGAGATCATGATGACAAAAGAAAGATCAATAAAAAAGAATGTTAATTAGTACAACCCAAACGGACGGACTCCTAGGTTTCTTAGAAACCAAAGGACCCGACTCCTCAACTACCCCGGCCCGTCCCACGCGCCCCCTCCCCGGCCCCGGCCGGGGGCCGG